CTTGTGTATGGTATGGAAGCAGTGCTCTCCGTCGAGGTTGTGATTTCTTCTTTGCGTGTGATAATGGAAACAAATTTGTCATAGGCCGGATGGGTCCAAAACAGGTTTAACCAGTTGAATTTGATTGAAGAAAAGAGAATGACAACTTTGTGTCATGGTCAGTTATATAAGAAGAGAATGAATAAAGCTTTTGATAAGAAAGTCAAGCCTCGTGAATTCAGAGAAGGTGACCTCGTGCTCAGAAATATCATGTCTTTTAACATTAATTTTAGGGGCAAGTGGACTCCCAATTATGAAGGCACATATGTTGTCAAGAAAGCCTTCTCTGGAAGTGCATTGATTCTTGAAATTATGGATGGCGAGGAGTTCCCACGTCCCATGAATGCTGACGCAGTCAAGAAATATTTTGCCTAAAGAAATAAAAGAACATCTCGCTAAGTTGAAAACCCAAAATGACGGCTTAGACAAAAAAGATCGTCTCAGTAGGTTGAAAACCCAAAAAAATAATCTAGAAAAAAGTAAGAGACACAAACAGAATAAACTTTCTCGCTAAGTTAAAAATCCGCGAGAGAAGTCTAGACAAAAACTAAAAATTTTTTAATAAATAACTGCGTCAGACAAGACTTCATCATCTCAAAAACTTATAAATTAATAATAAATTATCATATGAAACTATAATACTTTAATTAGTTACAAATAACCATAATAATATCAAATAAATAAATATGATACGTATTAATCGAAATCGTTTTATCAAAAACTCAGAAATATATATATATATATATATATATATATATATATATATATATATATATATATATATATATATATATATATATATATATATATATATATTAAAATTAGAGATTTAGATTGGAAATACATTTCTAGAATAAATTAGTATTAGATGGCCGACATGATGTCACTTTACCATCCGCTAAAATTAGATCGACGTCGTTAAACTTGATAGAGATGCGAAACGTGAACGCGACACGTTGGTTGTGTGATTACGTGGCAGAGTTAGAGCGTCTTGTTTGGGATTCTGGAAATTACAAGAAAACGGTTTTTTCACAGTGGCAGAGTCTAAATGGCTTTTTCTCTTACAGCAAGAAATCCTACATTCCACACTCACCAATTCACCGCATTATCTCCCTTCAGAGCCAAATCACTCTCCATTCTCAATTTCGCAAAGGTAAATCAAATTCCATCTTCTTCTCGTTCGGGTTTGATTGCAAAAGGCGTTAAATTTTCTGTTTGTTAATAGGTTTTTTTAGTCGTTGTTGTTGTTAGATGGAAGGAAGTGAAATCACTGAAGTGGCACAGAGAGTAGGTGATGATGATTTGAGTTTGAAGAAGAAGATTTTTGTTGCTGGAGCTACTGGTAGCACTGGGAAAAGAATAGTTGAACAGTTGTTGGCTAAGGGTTTTGCTGTTAAAGCTGGGGTTAGAGATTTGGACAAGGCGAAGACTACACTTTCATCTTCCAATCCATCTCTGCAGTTTGTGAGTTTTCTTTCCCATTTTCTTGCAAATTAGGTCAATTAAATTCAATAGTGATTGAGTGTGGACTAGTGTGATTTGATAATGTAATGGATGTGAATGAGGTGATGTGTAGTTTAGAATTTGGGTGGAGCCTGATCTGAGTAATACTCATTTTCACTTCATAATCACATCTCAGTGAGACTTTTGATTGTATATGATTGAGTTTGTGTGCAGGTGAGAGTTGATGTGACAGATGGTTCTGATAAGCTAGCGGAAGCTATTGGCGATGACACTGAAGCAGTAGTTTGTGCTACAGGCTTTAGGCCAGGGTGGGATTTGCTTGCTCCTTGGAAGGTTTGTGAATTTTTTGCTTGTGTTATGGTTAATAGATAGAATATTAGAATGGTGTAATGTATGTTCATATTTTCGTGGTAGTATGCATCACTTTTGATATTAATTAATGAATGACCTATTTGGTTTAGAAGAAAAAATTGGTATCGCGTGAGTTTATAATGAGAATGTTGTCTTGGATATCTGGCAAGACTATATGAGATAAAATTAAGAATGACAATATTAGAAAGAGTGTTCGGGTAATACTCATAGTAGAAAAAATGGTAGAAATTAGGTTTAGGTTGTGATGTGGAGAGAAGACAAGTAAAAAAGAGAGTAGATTAGATGAAGAGTGCTCAAACAATTAGAGCAAGATGAGGACCTAGAAAAATTATAAGAGAAACTATTAAGATTTTATCATAAGAGAGACTTTTAGAAGAGATCTTGAAATTAACGAGTTTGATCCATGTAATTGACCCCGCTCAATTGGATAAGGCTTGGTTGTAGTCAAGGTTGTCAAAATCAGGATTTATGACCCGCTCAATGGGATAAGGCTTGGTTGTAGTCAAGGTTGTCAAAATCAGGATTTATGACCTGCTCAATGGGATAAGGCTTGGTTGTAGTCAAGGTTGTCAAAATCAGGATCTTATATGATCCGCTTAATGGGATAAGACTTGGTTGTAGTCAAGGTTGTCAAAATCGGATCTTATACCCGCTTAATGGGATAAGGCTTGGTTGTAGTCAAGGTTGACAAAATCGGGATCTTGCATAAGATCGGAAGGGGATAGCGCAAAACATATGATTGTAACATAATACTACATATTTGAAGTATTTCTACATGAAAATATCGTAGGCCAGTGTATTTGTGGGAAAATGGATGCTGCCGGACCGAAATTGTTGTGCCTTTGTATCTTGTCATGCTTCTTGGCTTGTAATTGTGGTGGCCGGAAAATGGCCGATTATGGACGGAATTGGCCAATCACACATAATCATTTGTTTTTACCATTTTTTTCTCTCGCAATTTGACTACCACACACGATTCTACTTGAGATCTAGATTGTTGGGGGTGAGTGAGATCTTAAATTTGTAAGCTTTTAAGATTTAGATCGTGATTTTGATAACCATGGTTGTAGTTGTGTGAATTTAAGGTGATAGTTGGGTGCAACATATTTTCATTGTGTCGTGCCTTTGTATCTTGTCATGCTTCTTGGCTTGTAATTGTGGTGGCCGGAAAATGGCCGATTATGGATGGAATTGGCCAATCGCACATAATCATTGGTTTTTATCATTTTTTCTCTCTCGCAATTTGACTACCACACACGATTCTACTTGAGATCTAGATTGTTGTGGGTGAGTGAGATCTTAAAATCGTAAGCTTTTAAGATTTAGATCGTGATTTTGATAATCATGGTTGTAGTTGTGTGAATTTAAGGTCATAGTTGGGTGCAACATATTTTCATTGCTTCGGAATACTCGATAGTACTAGACCACTAGTTCTGGAAAACTTGTTTTATTACCTTCGCAGTAGATTATGGTATACTCACGGTTCATTGCTGATACTATTGATTCACATTTTCTCCCTGGTTTCTGTGTTAAACTGTGACACCATTTTCTATGGCTATTGATTTAGTGTAACGAACATCATTTTCAATATTAAATAAAATTGAGGATGCTGATGGAGAAACATTCCATTGATCTGCGGTTAACACATGTGCACTCTGTTGCATAAATACTTTTCAAGTTTATATTCTTCACTGGTTAAGGGATGAAATATATGTAATACTAATTTGAAACATTATTTGTCCTGTAAATTGCATCATATCATTAAAAAAAATACTTATCAGGTTATAAAGAAAGCCAATGAAACAAAATACCGTTGTAGGTTGGGTGGGATATTATCTCTTGTTATTAGACAATGCTTTCTTACAATAAAGGGATATATTATGCAGGTTGACAATTTCGGCACTGTGAACCTTGTTGAAGCATGCAGGAAAGTCAATGTTAACAGATTCATTCTTATAAGTTCCATTTTAGTCAATGGAGCAGCTATGGGACAGCTACTCAATCCAGCTTACATTTTTCTCAATGTTTTCGGCCTCACCTTAGTAGCAAAATTACAGGCAGAAAATCATATCAGGAAATCTGGTATAAATTACACAATAATAAGGCCAGGAGGGTTGAAAAATGATCCTCCTACCGGAAATGTTGTTATGGAGCCAGAGGTATTGCTTGCTTAAATATCTGAATCTCTATTTCTACAACAGAATCTATATTTATATGTTTGTTAGAACAAATGCATAATTATTTGGTTTTCTTTGTATCAGGATACACTATATGAAGGTTCCATATCCAGAGATCAAGTTGCAGAGGTAGCTGTGGAATCATTGGCTTATCCCGAGTCATCTTATAAAGTTGTGGAGATAGTTGCTCGACCCGAAGCTCCTAAACGCGCATACTATGATCTTTTTGGTTCCATAGTTCAGCGATGATATCTGAGTTTAGGACTTGGTTGTTGATTAGCAAATTGGTTTCCTTGTTATTCTTTGCTTTGTGATGGAAAATTTGTATTATACTTTTTCAAAAGTCAGTTCATTGAATTGTATACCAACGTAATACGGGTAAATATATGCAAGCATACCTTCTGTGTTATCCTTTCTATTCTATCTTCCCATTGAAAAGGTTAGTAAATAATCTCAACAGAAAATTGATAGATGGCATCGTTGATTGCTTTCTTCTATAGAAATTTGATGTGTTTGACCTAAAAAATATGTATGGACAGTGAAAACTGATAAAGGAATGCCAGAATGAACAAGGACTCTAGCTCTTTAGATAGTTTAGTATCCGTGGTTAATGAGTTTTGTTTTAAGCATTTTTTACTTGATTGTTATTCACTGTGCAGTTGTCTTTTTTTGATCATGTATGTGTGTGTCGGGTCGGTGTCTGTGACACACCTTCTCTTAGAAATTTATGTAGTTAGTTCATAGTTCTTAGTTCTGCAATTGTATTATAAGAGAATGAAACATTGCATAAATGGTTGGCAATATTGAAAGCAACTATTATTGATACATCAAATCACAATACTTGGTTGAATTCCAGATCCCAATTATGAACTATGTGTGAACAAACATCAAAATCCAATGAAAATAAATAAACATCAAAATCCAATGAAAATAAATAACAAAAACATTTTAGATGAAGCAAGTAGCCACAAAGGCAATGAATGCAAGTGTGGTTGATGAGACACCAATATGTACTCCCCTGCTTTCCATTGGTGTTGGTGGAATTGCAGCAACATCATCTTCAGCTACACTCTCTGCAAAACCACAGCGAGTGAAAACCAGTATAGTCATAATGAAGATGGTGAAAACCATGGCAATCCTGCAGGACTCCATTTCTGTATGTCAGCTCTAGCTCAATCAAGAACTTTTATGTAGGTAGTTGAGATGAAAACGGTGGTGAAAAGAACAATTCATCTCCTTTTTTATAGTTGGAATTTGAGACCAGTGAGCAATATTGAGCTGTAATATGTTACATGTAGCTTTAACAATAAACATAATGATTTGAGAGTGTTGGGGTTTAAGAATAATAATAATGTTATGTCTCCCTCATTATGAACTTTTTGTGGTGCTGAATGAACAGTATAACGGTGCTCAGTCCATAGTAATTTGAATGAAGCATCATTTGAATCATAGTATGCCTTAAGCATGCGAACTTGATTAGAGTATTGTGAGTATCAAAGAAAATAAATTAGAGCCATAATGGTAAAGATAAATTCCTTCAAGACCATAACGCGTTTGTTTGAACATATTAATAAACCAATGAAGATTTTTCTAGTAATATATAATAGTGAAATTAATAAATATATAAAATCAGTATTATAATTCAGCAACAACGACTCTGTGGCCCAATGGATAAGGCGCTGGTCTACGGAACCAGAGATTCTGGGTTCGATCCCCAGCAGAGTCGATTTTCAGTTTTACACTTCATTAATTTTTCAATCAATATAAGGTATTGAATATATGATTTATACGTTTTTGAGAAAATTATTAACACAAGTCAGGATGGCCGAGTGGTCTAAGGCGTTAGACTCAAGTTCTAATCTTCGAAAGGGGGCGTGGGTTCAAATCCCACTTCTGACATTTTTCTTAAATATTTTCCCAAGATAACATCTTTCTTTCCCCTTAATCAAGTTCTACCCTTTCTTCCAAATTTTCCAATATGCACACGCTCACGCTGCAGGTGAGTCAAAAACTCTTTCTTTTTTTAATAATTTATGTATTATTAATTATTTGATCTCTTTATGATTTAAATATTTTAATAGTTAAAAAATTAATATAAATAATTAAAATTAACATTTAAAAAAATATATAAATGATTTAAAATATAAAATTAATTTCGTAACATTTTTTCCAATTTAATAAATTATTATACTAATAAAAAATATTAATAAGATAAAATTTATAATATTTTAAATAAAAAATTTCTACTAAAAAGGCTTTTTTTTATAAGTATAGGATAAGTGAAGATTACACATGGCATCCGTTACTATAAACTTGACACGCTTGCGTAATTTTATAATGTCAATAATATCTCTATCATAATTTACTTTCCCTAATTTTTATTGTTTTATGAAAAAATTACTCCTAAAACACAAGTAAAAAACAAACAAAAAAAACGCGTAAAATTAGAAAGGATAAAGTAGAGTTTGTATCGGATTTTTTTATAGTGTAATTATTAAAATCCGATGGAAATTAATATTAGATATATTGAAAAATCGTTTTAACTATATCAGATATTTTGAAAATTTTGATGTACTGTTTTTTTACCCTTCTTTCTCAAAAATCAGGTGGTCTTGTATATCTTGTTTACCTACTCAGTGTGTGAAATGAATGATTCTCCAGCAAATTTTACATAATTATTCACCACTAATATGATATATTTTACTTAAATGTTTTAGTTGAATTTTTGAAAATTTTATTCGAGTTATGGAATATATTAGTAATTTATTTTATATCTTAATTGAAAAATATTTCCCTCCAAGACATAAGATTTTCACTTATGGATTCATAATATTCACTAATTGATTTTCTCTCAATTCTATCTCTAACATAGTCAGCATCACAAAATCCAACTAGCTTATAATCTAGAGATTTCTTATAAAGAAATTCCAGATTAGTTGTTTCCTTCAAATACCTAAAGATCCTCTCAACAAAAATTAAGTGAGTCTCTCTATGATCTGATTGAAATCTAGCACACAAGCACACACTAAATACAATATCAGGTCTAGAAGCTGTTAGATAAAGTAAGGAACCTATCATACCTTTGTACAACTTTTGACAGGCCTTGGTGTTGCTTTCCTCTTTGCTAAAATTGCACATTGAATGCATATGAGTTGTCATGATTTTGCAGTCGTCCAACTTAACATCTTCAGAAGCTCCTTTGTGTATTTAGTTTGATGAACATAGAATTCATCCTTGCATTGGTTGATTTATATTCCAAGGAAGAACTTCAGCTCCGCCATCATACTCATTTCAAACTCAACTTGCATTGTCTTAGAAAATTTCTTGCAAATAATGACATTAATAGAACCAAAAATAATATCATCAACACAAACTTGAACAAATTAAGATGTCATTATTTTAATGTCTTTCTGAATAGTGTAGTGTCCACTTGACCTTTTTGAAAACCATTTTCTAAAAGGAAATTACTCAGAAATAACACCAGGTGATTTTTTAAGTTTAAAAACATGTTATGGGTGGATATAATCCTCAAATCCATGTGGTTGAAATACTCTTCTTCATAAATAACACCATTTAAAAATGCATTCTTAATATCCATTTGATATAGAATAATATTATGATTAATATCATAAGATAAGAGTAATTTGATTGCCTCTAACCTTGCAACAAGTACAAAGGTTTCAGAAAAATCAATACCTTCTTGCTGAATGCAGCCTTGAGCTACAAGTCTAGCTTTATTTATTACCACTTCACCTTGTTCATCTAGCTTGTTTCTGAAGATCCATTTTGTTCAAATAATGTTCTTCTGATGATGTTTGTGTACTGTTAGCCAGCAATTTTCGACTCAGAAAATATGATTATAAGTTAAGGATCATCATCAAAGGCAAAGCATCTTCGACATCACCAATAGCGAGACGAGAGGCGTTGACAAATTGTCAAGGAAAAGTCCCTTTGAGACTTAACGAAAATTCATGATGTGTTGAAGCCAAGTCGATGGAAGGGATGAAGTCCAGTCGAATGTGAAAGTGTTTACTATTGAAGTAGTTTCATCGACAATTACCAATAGAATGTGAGAGGTCTCAAAATGAAGTTTTATCACAAACTCTAAATGTGGTTATATAATAATCGTCAAACGTGTATGATAACAGTTAATTTTGGTTGTTTATTTAAGAAAGTTTTTTCATTCATGCGAGGGGTCGCATTTTGTAACATTGTAAAAAAGAACTCAAAGTATCTGCGTCAAGAGAGAAACAAGTCACTTCTGAGAAATGTATGCATGCGTTCACCTTTAATTCAAAGCAATTTATTTCAAGTTTTTTTGTCTTGCTTATCATTTTTACCTTGCAAATTTGTCTTTGTTTACTTGTTTCTATTTTGATTCATATTTTATCCATTTCAAATACCAAAACCCATATCAAACTTAACACTAAAGTCTAGGACTTATAACCAGTCCTGCAAGTAACCTTTAAGTAAGAGGCTAGAGATTGTTTGCGATGAATGCTTGCGAATAAATTGGCACACCTGATGGGACACGTTTGTGTAAGTTTGTCTCAATCTGTGCATGAGATTGAGGAGTAGTAAAAATGGTAGATCCTAGAAATCCAGATGGGGAGTAATCCCCAGGAGGAAATACCAGTGTTGCATCAAATGTTGGGTCAAACTCTGGTTGTGTCGTCGATGACCCCAAGCATACCAATCACCACAAGTCAGCTAGTGACTCCAAGACCAAATGTGGTCAATACTTCAGGGAAATATGTTCCTAGTTTCACAACACCTACGCATGATAGGGAACAAATGTATGGAATGTCAACAACAATGATGGTAGACTTGCATAACATCATTTCAACATTTGGTGAAAATGCAACATCATCATTTCCTCTTATCATGCATTAGGGCCTGTGGGAAGTCAGTTTGGTCGTTCGACTAGATTGAGTTTTTCACACCAAGTAATACCGATTTTCATCCTGAGTTCTGCAGCAATTATGAGGTAACAAATGGATGAAAGTAATCATGAAATGATATGAGTTTCATATTAAGACCATCAATTGAGAGTTTGATGTAGAGTTACCAAATGTTGGCAACTCAAATGACTCGTATTGGCGACTTTCTTGATACCCTTAGAGCGCCAGTTCGACATGTTGCACCACCTCCACCAGAAGAACAAGTGCAATATGAAGAAATGGTCGACGAGACAATTAATCAAGGGAAATAAATTCCCCAGTGTGTCGACCCTATACCTAAGGATATTGAACAACCATCGGTGGTGATAGTAAATCGAAACCAAAATATTGACCAAGTGGTCAGGCAGGTTCGACGAAACGCAGTAGCTGGAGAACAGAACATATAAGCCATACATTGTCAAACAAATCATGGTGCAAAATAGAATTAATACTGGCTCTCAGAGGCCTACTTACTCTTCCCTGTTACCAAATTTTTTTTTTGGAAAGTCCCTAAATTCCCCAAGTTTGTAGGGGATACATAAAAGTTCACTAATGAGCATGTTGCTAGATATCAAATTGAATCTGGCGATATAACCAACAATGAGGATTTGAAGATGAAATATTTTCCAATTTCCTTGTCAAAAAATGCATTTTCCTAGTCTACGATGCTACCTCCCCGTTAGATCCATACGTGGACCCAATTGGAGAAATTGTTCCATGAACAATTTTATATGGGGTAATCAAAGAAAAGTCTAACAGAACTTGCTGGATTCAAATGAAAAGCTATTGATTCAATCGACCAGTACCTAAATAGGTTTAGACTTTTGAAAGCGAGATGCTTTACTCAAGTCCATGAGCACGAATTAGTCGAAATGGCCTAGACTACTCTATTAGGAAAAATATGGATACTCAATACTTGAGAGATATGGCGCAACTAGCTATTAGAGTTTAACAAATCAAACATTTGAAAGCTAATAAATCCAAAGTTATAAAACATATTGTGCTTCTAGACACCCTTCGATAATACTCCCTCAACCGAAAACACAAGCACATCCGACAACCACCAACTCCTCATCACCTTCAACAACCGAACTTCCCTCTGTTTTCAGCGAGTCTTCATCATTCATATTAGCAACCACCACCTTTCATCTATTTGAAGCATCCCTCAAGCTCGCAACATCAGAAATCCCCAATCGCAGCTACAACATCACA